GATCTCGTCAAGCAAGAAACCTATCTAATTATCTCTGGCTTGACTTCTTCGTAGCCGACAATATATCACACGCATCGTTGTTTATAGCCCTTGAAAAAATAATTACAACCAGACTAGCTACCTCAATGACGAAGGAAATTCTATTCAAGGTTGGGCTGAGTGCGATAAACGAATGTCTATTGGAATCAGGATTAACGAACGTTGATTATCATATCTTATTTATACATGTATAGTATAATATTATTCCTATTCTACTTGTTTTGCAGGTAATATTATCATGAGATTTGTAAGTGTTTTGTAATGTTATTATCATAGAGAAGAGTAAGGTGTTATGTTTAAAAAACAGAACTGACATAAACTTACATCAGCGAGTACCAATCAGAGTTCAAGAAGGTTTTGCGCAATCAGAATTGCCAGTCACCCCAAAACAAAAAAATATATCATCATCAACACACCGACTCAAGTTTTGTCTGTGAATGAATTGGTTTACACACCTGTCAAGCCCATATAATTTAAGGATATTTCCTAAGTTGTCAACCAATAAGACGCAAGGGAGGATTTGCACAGCACCTACCTACTTAAAGACTTATAATCATTATCTTAAACTCAGCGACTATAAATAGAGGTCTCCCCTCACCAAAATCGAGATCAAACTCTCTGAATTCAAAAAAAAATAGTAAAGACAACATACGGGAAAGAGATGGCTAATATTGGTGCTGAATACCAAGTCTTGTAATCTGTTGCTTTTCGCGACCTCTTATTACTTGGCTAATCAATAAGAACACTCCTATAGAAGAAAGCAGTGGATATGGAAATCATTTTAAGTATCCGAACCATTGTAAAAATTCTATCGTCTCCTTTATATTAAGTTTGTATGCTACTGTGACCTTTAACCAAATCCCTAATTAATCAGCGTAATTCCTAAGACCTTCTTAGCACTTACAGTGCGAGGTCGTTGGTGTCAAAATCACATATCACCATAAGGCTACTTGAATGGCTGTCTTTAGATCATTTAAATGGAGAAAATTAAATAATGATGACATTATCGAAGATAATAATAACAGCAAATTAAAACCCGCAATTAGACATTATAATGTGAAAAATTCAAGTGGAAACTTGAGAAATTTGCGCGGAAAGATATATGTAGCCATTGAAAAGGGTGTGATCAAGGTATAATATCTTGAGAATTTAATAAATTACCAGCCGAGGGTCTTTTTTAGAATAAACGTGTTAATTGTTTAAATCGACTCGTGCAGGTCATCATAGTGTAAAATAGTGGCCGGTTAGCTAGAGAGTACAGGTTCTTTGAAACGGTAATTTCTGTAACAAATATTTTGTGTTAGCTCGCCGCAACTTATTATTGATTTCCTAAGTCTGCCCAATCTAAACCTTCTTTTAACTTTATCTTCACATATAATTATATATAAATTAAACTGGGTCATATAAACTTTGAATAATGCTACATTTGCATCACTCTTTCACACATATTCATTTCACCATGATGTGGTATATGTCACATAACACATTCTATTATAATATTAAAAATTCAAAATATTAAAAATTGTGTGTGGTTGTGGTATATGCCACATCATGATATAATGAATATAATATAAAAGAGTGGTGTAAACCTAGCATTACTCATAAAACTTTAGAAAGGAACAAGTCTCAATTTTTGTGATTGGAAGATTTCAGAATAACAGTGACCCACGCTGTGCATATTGAGAGAAGGATAAATAAGTTCAACTTCAGCATGGAACACTTAAACATAGCTATATCGCAGCTAGTAAAGGGCCTAAAGGCTAAGGATAGTTCTATATTTTAGGGAAAATAATACTAAAGATTACATCAAATGGAACTCAATAAGATGATCTTAGCCATCTCCACAGCTTGAAAAAGAGTACCCCAGTAGAAACAAACACTCAGCGCCACACAGCTATCACCCTAACGCAAAACTGGCCTAATTTCATTAAATAATTCTGCAAACAACCCATGCTTCACAAACATTTCATTATAGTGCAGATAATATTTCTTTTCCACTTCATCCAATTCGAAGGCGGTTCATGACTTGCCTCCAACGTTTCTTTTCCTGAATGCGAATTCGCAGCACAATCATGTTATCATCCACCAGCCTTCCCTCATAATCTCGTCCCTTCGATCCTCCACTCGCACCAGCTTAAGATATAGGGCTCTTCGAGTTGTTCTCGACATGGCGAAAAGCAAGAAAAACTTCATGAGGGGACGAAGAGTAGAGGTGGAGGATAAGAACTTGGTTGCTTCCATTCTGAAGATAGTTAATTAGGAACTGGTAGCTCCATGAACTATTATTATAGCAGCGTAGATAAGCAGTTGCGTGTTAAAATAATAAACTTAGATGACAAGCGGAAATTGGAAACCGTGTCGATGGGAAGACGTGGACGTGGTGTAATTACTGGGCATGTATTTGCACAGTTGCAGTGGCTTTTCCAGGAAGAAACGCGGCGGCGCGCGTGCTTTTTCCTTTTACAGTTAACTTTTAGTTGGAAGCCTTCAAGGCTTCAACGACTTAATGGAAACAGAATTGGGAGAGAATATGACAAAAGGAGAGAAAATGATACTAATCTGCGGCTGTGAGCTTTAAAAAAAGTTGGTATGGCAAGATAATACAAATTGTACAGAAATGTTTTATCAGAGAGAAGGAAGAGAAAGACTACAGGTATACTAATATGTAAAGTCAATCTCATATACGTATAAATAGTATATTTTATATTGAAAATATATATACGAATTTTATTGCACAAATTGGCCCAACAAAATATAGGTTAAAGAGTATAAACTTACTAATATCGATATAATGATAAAAGAATAATACCAAATCAATTTACATGTGAAAATTATAATTATTGGTCTGACGTGGATTCACTTAGTAATATAATTATTTGGTGACCACTGACCGTCAAGCATAAAAGAAAGAGAACATGCATGAATCACGATTTGCTCACCAATTTCTTTTCAATTATATTACTCTATCTAATCACACCATCAGTTTATATATATATGTATTGTCTCTAATGTGTACAGAATATGGTTCAATGATTTTACAGAAAATTGGCCAATATCATAAGTTAATGTCAAATAATGCAGCAGAAAAATATAAAATTCATTCGATCTCTTTATCATCAATCTACACATGTTAGAGTATATGGATGTAATATGAACGGAAATGAGTATTTCAGGAAGTATAAAAAAGATTTGGACGCATAATATTTTAATAATCAAATAGATTTTACTTCGACGAGACAAATTAAACACACTGTCTCTTGGAAATTAACTTTTATCACTTTTTTTTGACAAATTTTATTTCCAAATTAACAAAGAGCTTCAGCCGAACTTGAATGAAGAGGGTGCTTACTGCTTAGAGTTAGAAGTTTATTTATTATTTTAAATTAAAGTCTCCATATTTAGCACCTTTCCCGAGCCCTGTGGAGAGGCGCATGCAAGATACAACCTGAGAAATGGTTTCCAGGTTGAGTATTTTGGTTCCCTTCTAAGTTTTAAACTGATTGAATACAGGGAGAGATGATAGCTATATATTGTAAGTAGATCGAAAAATATTATCCTGGATTTAATTAATTAGTCAAAACATTAACAGTTATTACCAAAATTCAATTACAACTTTACATTCATCGGTGCAATTGAAATGTAGAAATATTTCTCCGTGTCTCTTATTCTTTATGAAAGTTCCTGTAAAGAAAACAAATATTTAAAGTTATCTTGACCGGCTGCAACTTTTACAGGGAAAAGACAAAAACTAATATAATGGTACGGGAATTACTCTAGAGGATTTGATATTTGAAGTGACGGCCTGACGGGTTCAATGCACCAAGAATAAAACGTAAATAATATGCCTATACTATTCTTACTTACAGTATGTATAAGTCAGTATAACTCAACTTTTCCTTATATTTAAATAATTCACTTAATATTGTTAAATTTGTTTACTTAAAACTATAATTTGAATCATAGAATAACAAGAAAAATAATATGGAAAAATCTGATTAATAGTCATTAGAGCTTCACATGTAAACTTGATTAAAACCCATAATTGGATAGCTAAAATGGTATGATGAGTGTTAGGATGTGTGATTAAAGAGTACAGTTTCAGGTTTGAATTCATCTAGGTTTCAAGATTTAAGTGAGGGACTGTAAATCTTTTTCGATAATTAGTTGAAATACACGTAAACTAATTTAAATACCTCGATTTTGACAATATATATATATATATATAGAGAAAGAGAGAGAGATGGTTTGAGACTGGTCTCAAATGGGACCGGTCGCTCATGGGCCTGAAAATTTTCTTTTTTTTCCTTGATCTTTTTTTATATTTTAGAGGCGAAACGAAATTTTATATAGGTTTTTAGAGATAAAATTTATAAATTTTTCAGGGCTTGGAAATTTTCTTTTTTTAATAAATTTTGTAAAATTACTTTTTAACCTCTATAATTTATGTTTATTTCAAAATTTATATAAGGTTTTATGTAATTATATAAGGGACTATAATAAAAATATTTAAAAAAAATTAGGCTTAGTCCTGGGATCGGAGGATGGCCCAGTGGAGGGACTAGGCCCTCCTCCTTAGACCTGGTCCCATTTTGGGACCAAACCTCTTAAGATCGGTCCTAAAGTCAGGTCTTTTTACTGGTTTTTAGACCAGTCCCAAATGTCTACCTATATATATATATATATAATTTCATTATATATTTTCAACTAAGCTTTAAGCTTTTTTGCATGAATAATTTTAATAAAAAGACAATGATGAGTACCACGTTCTATTTATGGCTGCCAACATCAATCATTTGGGTTGTCTTTTATGAGTGATATGAATTTATTGTCTTTTCTGTATAATCAAAGTGTAATGGCATGCTTACCATCTCTTCTCACAACTTTTTCCCACAATTCTAATGTATAATTTGCAATGGAACAACCGCAATTTTATGACAAAGTGAACCACAGTTGATAAGCTTTCATGAAGTCATGAACCACAAAGTGGAAATACTATTTGCCTTGGAAATTGCTTCCTTTTNTTTATAAGGGGACTTGTTGCCTAAAACAGGAGAGGATAAACTGTTCACCAAATAACAGGCAGTAAGAATGCAATCTCCCCAGTATTGAAGGGGAATTCCTGCTTGGATTTTCAAGGATCTAGCTACATCCAGTAGGTGCCTGTGTTTGCATTCTGCCACCCCATTCTGTTGGGGGGTGTAAACGCAAGAACTCTGATGAATGATGCCCAAGAATGTAAACAACTCAGTGTAAGCAGTGCTAAAAAACTCTCCCCCATTATCTGATCTAATGACTTTGATAGAAGCAGAAAAATGATTCTGGACCAGTAAAAAAAAATTCCGAAGATGGAGTATGGTTTCTGACTTATGTCTTATTAAGAAAACCCAAGTGATTCTTATATGATCATCTATAATAATGAGAAAGAACTTATGATGATCAACAGTGGGATGAGCATAAGGGCCCCAAACATCCATATGCAATAAATCAAAAGGATGAGATGCTCTAGTATGACTTTAAGTAAATGGTAATCTGACTTGTTTAGCTGAGGGGCATATTCTACAATCAACCACACATTGTATATCATTCTGAGTAAGCTTTATTGAACGAAAATATTTCAATTTGGGAATAGGCACATGGCCAAGTCTTTTATGCCACATTTCAATAGAAGATAAACAACAATTATTAGGCAAAGTAAAAGGATCTTCATGCACTGTGTAAACTTGAGGAACCTTAGGAACAGCCGATAGATGTGGAGGCACAGCTAGTGATGCATGGTGTTTGAGAGGCAATAAAAAGTATAAACCTTCAACTTCTCTGCCAATCCCCTTTACCTTCCCACTGAAGAGGTCCTAAAGTATATAAAAATCAGGAAAAAAGGAGATGAAACAAGACAAATCTCTTGTCATCTTTGCAACTGAAATCAAGTTGAATTTGAAATCAAGAATATAGAGAACATTGGTAAGTTTCTGGTCAGCAGCAAGATAATGTGATCCAATATGAGAAACTTTAGACACATGACCATTAGGCAGTCGAACTGATGTAGAAACAGGTAAAGATGTTAATTCTGATAATAGATCAATACAAGGAGACATATGATGACTAGCCCCTGTATCTAGAATCCAGGATTGTTTCTCACCTAGTGAAGATGAAAAACATTTTATTCCTGCCATGTTCACCATTCCATCTGCTGTAGAAGTAGTTGAATATTTGTTCAAGAGTTTAAGGATCTCTTCATATTGTTCCTTAGAGNTAATGAGAAAGAACTTATGATGATCAACGGTGGGATGAGCATAAGGGCCCCAAACATCCATATGCAATAAATCAAAAGGATGAGATGCTCTAGTATGACTTGAAGTAAATGGTAATCTGACTTGTTTAGCTGAGGGGCATATTCTGCAATCAACCACACATTGTATATCATTTTGAGTAAGCTTTATTGAAGGAAAATATTTCAATTTGGGAATAGGCACATGGCCAAGTCTTTTATGCCACATTTCAATAGAAGATAAACAACAATTAGTAGGCAAAGTAGAAGGATCTTCATGCACTATGTAAACTTGAGGAACCTTAGGAATAGCCGATAGATGTGGAGGCACAGTTAGTGATGCATGGTGTTTGAGAGGCAATAAAAAGTATAAACCTTCGGCTTCTCTACCAATCCCCTTTACCTTCCCACTGAAGAGGTCCTAAAGTATACAAAAATCAGGAAAAAAGGAGATGAAACAAGACAAATCTCTTGTCATCTTTGCAACTGAAATCAAGTTGAATTTGAAATCAGGAATATAGAGAACATTGGTAAGTTTCTGGTCAGCAGCAAGATAATGTGATCCAATATGAGAAACTTTAGACACATGACCATTAGGTAGTCGAATTGATGTAGAAACAGGTAAAGATGTTAATTGTGATAATAGATCAATACAAGGAGACATATGATGACTAGCCCTTGTATCTAGAATCCAGGATTGTTTCTCACCTAGTGAAGATAAAAAAAACATTTTATTTCTGCCATGTTCACCGTTCCATCTACTGTAGAAGTAGTTGAATATTTGTTCAAGAGTTTGAGGATCTCTTCATATTGTTCCTTAGAGAATATTGGAGTAGCAGATCCTGAATTGTTAGGCTCTGCATGATTAGTAGATGGGGCTGAAACATTATTGACTGAAGATTGATTTCTTATGATTTTTTTTTTCTGGTGAACTTGAAGTCAGGAGGATAGCCAGTGAGCCTGTAAAAATTTTCTTTCTTATGACCTCTCACATTGCAGTGCTCACAAGTAATATTCCAGTTTTTCTTTCCCTTGGACTGTTGCTGTGATGATGACGATGAGTATAAGACAATGGATTCCAGGGAAGATTCTGATGCGGTAGATCCTGTTATGCTTCTTTGACTCTCTTCTGTCACAAGCATGGAATAAGCTTGGTTGATACTAGGCAGTGGATTCATCATCAAGATCTATCCTCTTGCTTGCACATATGTCTCATTCAGTCCCATGAGAAACTGCAAAAGTTTTTTATTCTGCATATGTTCCACGTAGGTTTTTGACATCTCACATTCACATGTAGGTAGTTGTATAATAGATCCATATTCATCCCATAAAAGTTTGAGTTTAGTATAATAAGTGGATATAGTTGAAGTTCCTTGTGCTAAAGTAACAATGTCTCGGTGTAATTGAAAAATCCTTGAACCATTGATTTTGTCAAATCTCTCTTTTAAATCTTGCCATACCAGATGTGAATTAGAAGCATAGATTATACCACTCAACAATTCTTTACTTACAGAGTTCATAATCCAAGAGAGCACAATGGCATTGCATCTGTCCCACTGCTGTTGCAAGTTAATTGAAACTGTGTCTCTTTTACAAGTTCCATCAATAAAGCCTATTTTGTTCTTAGCAAGTAATGCAATTTTCATTGATCGACTCCATAGTGAGTAATTTTCTATTCCAATGAGTTGAAAAGAAACTAAGATAGAACCTGGAGTATCCGAGGGATGCAAGTACAAGGGATGATTGAAGTCCACTGATGATGAATTTTGATTATTCTGAGAACCAGTTCCAGTTGAGATGCTTTCATTTCCTTCAGTTGCCATTGATGTCGAACTGGCTTAATAGTTTGAGTGAGGAAGAACAAACTAAAAGAATTGAAAGATTTGACAAAGGCCGAACTGAAATTTAATGGCAGATCAGTACCAGATCTTGGTGAAAAAAAAAATTGATGTTTGAACAAGAATTTCAGGCCTTAGATCAAGGCTCTGATACCATGTTAAGAATATATTTGGAAGAACTGAAAGTAAATGAAGAGAAGAGAAAATACAATCTTCTTATTAATCTAACGTTTACATCCATATACATATATATAAAACTTGTAGAATAATCGTTTAACCAACTCTAACCAGAAAAATAACAAACTCTTAACTAAAACATCCAGCTCAGCACTCAGCATAAATAATTCTCACAGCTCAGCTTCTTCTTCGTCAACTTGCTTCTTCTTTCGTCAACTTGCTTCTTAACAAACTCAACTTGCTTCTTCTTCGTCAACTTGCTTCTCAACAAACTCAACAAAGATGGCCTCTCCATGTTTATAATGATCTCTTTTACTTTTAATTAAGCATCATTATATTTAGTTATTTTAACGGTAATTAATATATCTAATTATATGATTTCATGATTAAATAGATTATTAAAAACTTTATATCCTAAAATAGGAAATTTCTTGATAATAAATAATCAAATACGTACTTTTATTAAAAGGTCGCAACTTCTGCGAAAAGAAAGAGAATTGAGAGGGAACATGACCAGGTCACAAGAAGCAGAGAAGAATTGACGGTGATTTACAGTGTCAAAGCATTACAAAGGCCGAACGACTTACGCATACCCAAGGTTTGCTGAAACGACAAGTTGGTACCCAAAAGGTTTTGAAACGACAAATAGGTACCTTCCGTCATGTTCTGTTAGTGATTTTTGTTTGATAATAGTGAAAAGACTAAAATGCCCTCGAAAGTTTAATATTTTAGTTTTTTATAAATTTAAAAATTTCTAAAAAACCTCATAGGTTTGCTAATTTGACCAAATACCCCAATATATAAAAATTTTATAAAATAGCAAAAACACCCCCGCCACCCGCAGTGCCAGTTCCGGCCACCACCGCTGGAATCTGGTCGAAAAATTGCGTAACGCGTAGATCTGACATTTTTCGACAAGATCCGTGGCTGATCTAGTCGGAAACGGCCAGATCTGGCCGTCGAGGTCAGAATCTTGTCGAAAAATTGTATTACGACACATAACCGTTAGATCTGTGTCGTAACACATCACTCTGGCATTTTTCGGCCAGATCTGGCAGTCAAGGCTAGATCTGGCCATCAAGGCCGAAAAAGGGCCAGATCCAGCCGGAAAAGGTCAGATCGATGCGTTACGACATAGATCCGACGGGTCTGTGTCGTAACACAATTTTCTGGCCAGATTCCGGCAGTGATGGCCGAAATCTGGCACTACGGGTGGCGGGAGTGTTTTTGTTATTTTATAAATTTTTTATATATTGGGGTATTTAGTCAAATTAGCAAATCTGGGGGGTTTTTAGAAATTTTTAAATATATAAAAAAACTAAAATATTAATCTTTCAAGGGCATTTTAGTCTTTTCACTATTATCAAACGAAAATAACTAACAGAACATGACAGAAGGTACCTATTTGTCGTTTCAAAACCTTTTGGATACCAATTTATCGTTTCGACAAATCTTGGGTATGTGTAAGTCGTTCTCCCCATTAAAAAGCAAAAAGTTTATATGGCAACAATAGTACAAATTGTACAGAAATGCTGCTTGGAAAGGTAGGAATATAGGTAAACTAATATGTAAAGTCAAACTTAACATGAAGCACAGTATATCTAGTATTATTTTTATTTTATATTGTATAAACTCTTACATAAAAATTACTAAAACAAAAAATAATAGATAAAATGATATTAAAATAAAAAGTATATAGATAAATGATATAATAATAAAAGAATAACCAAGTGTATATATCATCACTCAATACCATGATGAAGTTCACGTCAAATAATGCAGCAGAAAAATAAGGATGGGAATGAGTACTCAATTCAGGAGATAATGTAATCAGATGTACAAATAATATATTAAAAGATTTTATTTCAGTAATACAATTTATGAAAAATGATATACCTATCATCTTTTCTCACAAATTTGATGTGATAGGTTATAATTGATTAATTTATAATAAATTTATTAATTACAAATTATTATATCAGGATTTTTGAAAGAAAATTTGTGATTACTTTATTATTTACGCACAAGTCTTCAGAGCTTGAATAGCTTTTTTGACAAATTTAATTTCCACAAAAGAAGAGGTTCAATCGAACTTTAGTGAACGGGATAATCATAATTTAATTTTGAATCGGTAGACTTGACACCAAAACTAATTTAATATTAGTTCATATTCTAGAAGATCTATTTTAACGAAGCAAATCCTCTTGAGTCAAAAATGGACTGGCTGAATTGTGACATCACTATAAGATTGAATTTTAGAGATCATTAATTAATTTTTTGTGAACACTGTCCAATCACACCGCCGATTAATGAAATATTGCATAAGATATTGCGGCTTCACAATATAAATAGTTAGACACACGTGTTTGCCGTAAAATCAGAATTCTTATCTTAGAAATTCTCAAATTCAATACCTCGTACAAACGCACTTCGATCTCGTCAAGTAAAGAAACCTATCTAATTATCTCTGGCTTGACTTCTTCGTAGCCGACAATATATCCACATGCATCGTTGTTTATTAGCCCTTGAAAAAATAATTACAACCAGACTAGCTGCCTCAATGACGAAGAGAAATTCTATTCAAGGTTGGGCTGAGTGCGCATAAACGAATGTCTATTGGAATCAGGATTAACGAACGTTGATTATCATATCTTTATTATACATGTATAGTATAAATATTATTCCATGATCAGTTATTTCTACTTGTTTTGCAGGTAATATTTATCATGAGATTTGTAAGTTGTTGTAATGTTATTATCATAGAGAAAGATGTAAGGTGTTATGTTTAAAAAATCAGAACTGACATAAACTTACATCAGCGAGTATCAATCAGAGTTTAAGACGGTTTTACGTAATTCAGAATCTGTCAAGTCGTCCCAAAACAAAAATAATATAGTCGTCATCAACCCAACCGACTCAAGTTTTGTCTATGAATGAATTTGGTTTACACACCTGTCCAAGCCCCATATAATTTAAGGATATTTCTTAAGTTGTCAACCAATAAGACGCAAGGGAGGATTTGCACGGCACCTACCCACTTGAAGACTTATAATCATTATCTTAAACTCAGCGACTATAAATAGAGGTCTCCCTCTCACAAAATCGAGATCAAACTCTCTGAATTCAACAAAACAAATAGTAAAGACAACCTACGGGAAAGAGATTGACTTAATATTTGCTCTGAATACCAAGTTCTTGTAATTCTGTTTGCTTTTCGCGACCTCTTATTACTTGGCTAATCACCAAGAACACTCATGTAGAAGAAAGCAGTGGATATGGAAAACGTTTTAAGTATCCGAACCACTGTAAAAATTCTCATCATCTTCTTTATATTAAGTCTTTGTATGCTACTGTGACCTTTAACCAAATCCCCTAATTAATCACACGTAATTTCTAAGACCTTCTTAGCACTTTGCACGTGCGAGGTTGTTGGTGTCAAAATCGCATATCAACATAAGGCTACTCGAATGGCTGTCTTTAGATCATTTAAATGGAGAAAATTAAATTAATGATGACATTATCGAAGGTAAATTAAATAGCAGCAAATTAAAACCCGCAATTAGACATTATAATGTGAAAAATTCAAGTGGAAACTTGAGAAATTTGCGCGGAAGATATATGATTAGCCATTGAAAAGGTTGTGATCAAGGTATAATTATCTTGAGAATTTAATAAATATTACCAGCCGAGGGTCTTTTTTAAGAATAAACGTGTTTAATTGTTTAAAATCGACTCGTGCAGGTCATCATAGTGTAAAAATAGTGGCCGGTTAGCTAGAGAGTACAGTTCTTTGAAACGGTAATTTCTGCTAACAAAATATTTTGTGTTAGCTCGCCGCAACTTATTATTGATTTCCTAAGTCTGCCAAATCTAAACCTTCTTTTAACTTTTATCTTCACATATAATTATATATAAATTAAACTGGGTCATAATAAACTTTGAGTAATGCTACATTTACACCACTCTTTTACACTATATTCATTACATCATGATGTGGCATATGTCACAATCACACAAATTCTCTTATAATATTACAAATTCAAAATAATTAAAAATTTGTGTGGTTGTGACATATGTCACATCATGATGTAATGAATATGATGTAAAAGAGTGGTGTAAACCTAGCATTACTCATAAACTTTATAAAGGAACAGTTCTCAATTTTTGTGATTGAAGAAGATTTCAGAATAACAGTGACCCACGCTGTGCATATTGAGAGAAGGATCAATAAGTTCAACTTCAGCATGGAACACTTAAACATAACAATATCGCAGCTAGTAAAGGGCCTAAAGGCTAAGGATAGTTCTATATTTTAGGGAAAATAAATACTAAAGATTACATCAAATGGAACTCAAATAAGATGATCTTAGCCATCTCCACAGCTTGAAAAAAGAGTGCCCAAGTAGAAATAGCCACACTCAGCGCCACCACAGCTATCATCCCTAACGCAAAACCTGGCCTAATTTTCATCAAATAATTCTGCAACAACCCCATTGCTTCACAAACATCTTCATTATAGTGCAGATAATATTTCTTTTCCCACTCCATCCAATTCGAAGGCGGTTCATGACTTGCCTCCAACAGTTTCTTCTCCTGAATGCGAATTCGCAGCACAATCATGTTATCATCCACCAGCCTTCCCTCATAATCTCGTCCCTTCGATCCTCCACTCGCACCCATGCTTAAGATATAGGGCTTCTTCGAGTTGTTCTTTCGACATGGCGAAAAACAAGAAACTTCATGATGGGGACGAAGAGTAGAGGTGGAGGATAAGAACTTGGTTGCTTCCATTCTTGAAGATAGTTAAT